CCCTTGATAATTTATAAATTATTATTTTGTCATATCTTGCCCTGTCCGACGTCTCCCTTCACCCACTTTTCTGTTTTCTGCCCCCCAGGGAGGAGGTCACATATAGTTCCTTGTTATCGGTTCCCTCTTTCCTACCCACTCTCCCTCTACCCTCCCTGTTTCGCCACTCACTCCACTGGTCCTGAAGGCTAAGGACAGGAAAGAAAAGAACAAGAGGGATGTCAAAAGAAATTCTGTACCTTGCTCTTCAATGTAATGTCTTTAGTGAATTGAAATGTTGGTGTGAAAGAGCTGAACAGAAGATTATCTAAAGGCAGGCCAAGAATACAGAGGAAAGCAAAATGAAGTGTATAAAGATCTCGAATTAGAAAACTGAAATCTTTTAACATAGCTCAAGCTAAATAACATGAATGGAAAGTTCAATCCTCAAGGGGCAAATATTGAAGGATTCTATAGGCAAGATATTGAATCGTGTAGGAAGCATCAAAAGAGAAACGAATGATATACAATCACTAACAAAAGAATACCAGAAAGATCTTTACTTGTGCTTTAACTGTTCAAAGTCATTAGACCCATGCAGATCATAGCAAATTATTGATAATATTGCAAATTTATTCGCAAAAAATTTGGGCGGTGGCCAGAAAAGGACCCTGTGACAGGAGTCCTCTTCAGAGTCTGCACTGCCTTGTTCTCACTGCTGCCAGCGAACTGCCCCGGGCCTTGCTCAACTTTCCCGTCTCCCACGAGCCCCCAGCCCTGCTTGGCATTGGGGTCTGAAACCAAGCCTCTGGCTGGTGGAGACGCCTCATTCTCCACGGCAGGCCTTTCAGTCTGTGTGTTCTCTCAAACAGAATGGCTTCTGGGCCTTGGTGAGACTGTACCAATCTCCCATTGGATGTAAGATGGTCATCTCTTGAGTTTGAAATGCTCGTGTCATTTAGCTACGGTGACCAGATTTAAAGCGGGACACCATTGGTGGGGGGGTGGGGTGCGGGGGTATTCTTGATTAAAAATTTGGTCTATATGCACCAAATAGACCATTAAAAAAAAATTTAAGTGCAAAAAAATATTCTACTTAATTGTGTACATGCTATACTTGTAGACAGACTGAAAGACAATAATTTGAACAAAATACAGGGATTCTGTGTGGTTTATGTATTAGACCGGGTTGACAAGAGAAACAAATCCAGAGACACACATATATGTATAAGAAAGCTTTATATTAAGTAATTATCCATAGAGAAAACATCCTAGCTCAAGCCCATAAGTCTGAAACTAGTCCTTAAGTCCTTCAGATTAGCTCAGCCACATGCAGTGATGCAAAATGCAGGAAGATCACAGGCTGGTGATTACAGTCTTGTGTATCTAGTGGCAGTGGTAATATCTCCAGGGCTTTGGCAGCAATCAGGGTCCTTCGGCAGGATGGTGAAGGCAGAGAGGGGGCTAGATTCCTAGGACCCTCCTTACGATAAGGCCATGCCCTTAAGGAGGTACCAGCAGGTTGTGACTTGATTCACAGGTTGGCGACCACCCCTACACTTCTATATGTCTTCAAGGTGACATGACGTTGTGTAACTACCATAGTTCTCAGGAAAGGTATCCGTCAGGGTGGTATCCTTTCACAGTAACTTAAAGTCTGCTGAATAAATAATCCCCAAAAGCGTTACTGTGTGAAGAATGAGACATCTGGGTTGGAGGAAGGCTTCTTAACAAGCTGAACTATGCAGACAACACAACTTGCTGAAAATGAAGAGTATATGAAGCACTTATTGGTGAAAATCAGCACAAGTCCTCACAACTGCACTTCGAGATGGCAACATGATGAACTGAGAAAGGATTGAGGGTGCCAAGGATTTCTTTTTCTTGGAACTACAATCAACACCTGTGGAAGCAGTCAGGAAATCAAATGACATATATATTGGGCAAACTTATTGCCAAAGAGCTTGAAAGTGGTTAAAAAAAAAATTTAAAAAGCAAAGATGTCATTTTGAAGACTAATGTGTACCTGGCTGAAACATGTTATTTTCAGTCACCTTGAAAGCATGCAAAAGGTGGACAATAAATAGGGATGGCCAAAGAATTCATGTCTTTGAATTGTGAATGGTGAAGGATATTACGTGTGCTGTGGACTACTGGAAGAACAACCAAAAAAATGTAGCAGGACATACATTGAACGTCTCATTAAGAAGGGATCAGCCTTGTAGAAGGGCATCACCCTTGATAGAGGATCAGTGAAAAAGGGGTAGGCCCTCTAGATTTGACACGAGCTGCAGCAATGGGCTCAAACAGGAATGATGGTGAGAATGGCATAGGACTGTATAGCCAGTGTTTCTTTCTGTCGTACCTAACAACAACTCTATTTTCAGTGCATAGTTTGTTCATCTTTTAGCAAAGTAGAATAAATTAAAATTTTAATTTCAAAAATAGGGCAGGTATAGAAAAAATATAAAGAAATTGAAAGCTTAATTTTTCCATATACGTGTATATATAAAATATATGTGTGTGTATATATATGTATATATATGTGTGTGTGTGTGTGTGTGTGTGTGTGTGTGTATATACTTTGATTAGCGGCTTTTTGTTAAAGGTTTAAATTTTTCTGTAAACAATTTGAATGCTGCTTGTCTCATGTACATCAGTTTGGTTACGTGTTCTTATTTCCTGAGCGTCTGAGGATCTGTGACTCCATACAAGTTGTTATAAAAGTGTACAGGTAAATACGTTTTTAGGGAAAAGAGATCTAGAGCTTTACTGTCTGATGCTATTTAAATTTAAATTATTTAAAATTTCTATTCCTTAGTTTCTACACTGGCAATGTATTATTCAATACTCCGAAGCATCATGTGACCGTTGGCTACTTTAGTGACTATTACAGATAATGGGTATTTCTAACATTGCAGAAAGTACCTTGCATGATTTTATAATCAAATTTAGTAAACCTCAAAGCAGGATTCCTTTGATAGATCTGCATGCCTTTTATTCTGCCATCTCAAAGTTGTAAATGAATGTTTAATGAATTTCATTCCTTTTTATGAGATTTATATTATGAAGTATATAGATGCTAAAGTGTATAGACATTTTGGAAAGTCCGGCTTAGTTTTGTTGTTCTATGCGCGTGAGTCGCTGACTGGTAACGACCTGCATACAACAGAACGAAACACTACCGGCTTGTGCACCATCTTTGCAGTCATTGCTGTGTTTGAGTTCCTTGGTGTAGTCACTGCCTCAGTCTTGTTGAGGGTCTTTTTTGCTGACCCTCTATCAAGCATGATGCTCTTCTCCACAGATGGGTCCATCTTGATAACATGTTCAAGGTACATGAGATGACGTTTTGCCAACCTCCTGTGGAGCATTCTTGCTGTACTTCTAACTGCTTAGTTTAGAGACATCAAAATGCTATGAAAGGAATAGAAAGGAGGGAAGTAATTAACTTTGTAGAAGAATTGGAGATTTTGGCTAAAATAAATAAAGGGACACTGAGATCAAAACCAGATCAAAACCAGTTGAATCAGTTCCAACTCCTGATGAACCCAGGGTGAAACCATAAGTTTTCAGTGATTAGTTTTTCAAAAATAAATTGTCAGGCCTTTCTCCTGAAGCACACCTGTAAATTTGAGGCTTCAATTTCTTGGTACCACCCAGGAACTCCAAAGAAACACTAGGGGAAAATGTTTTTATGTTAATGGCAGCGGGCAAGAATAATTCTCCTTTATTTGCCTTTCTTTCTTTAATTGTCTTGTTGCTTGTTTTAGACATGCTTGAATCGAATATATTTACGAGGAAGAAGTGAAGAACAAGGCATTCCTCTTGAGTACTTGGAGAAGCTTCACTATAAGCATGAAAGCTGGCTACTGAACAGGACACTGAAGTAAGCCTTAGTTTTACTTCTCATTTTTTCATTCATTTGTCCAATTCTAATCTAAAATCTGGAAGATACAAATAGCAACATGAAGTTTTTCATTTTGAGCCTTTTTATTTATTCCAGGATTAGGTATGGATTTTGACTCTTTATTGTTATTATTTTAATTTTGATCAGATTATCTTTCCTTTAAATTTTACAACTTGAATCCCTCAGTTTTGTTATGTACTTTCAGATTTTTTTATAGGAAATATATTTTAAATTTGCTTCCTATAACATGACATTGGAGGTAGACTAGCATTAGCTGTTAATAGTGTTTTGGGTCTTGGTTCAAGACCATTCTCACTTATATGAGTTTGTAAAACCCCAGAACCTCAACTAAATTCTTGGGGTTTTAGTTTTCTCATGGTTAAGATGCAAAATATTCTTCCTATTATGGTGTGCTTTTTTAGTAGAACAACATACCATAATGCGCCTGTATTAGTCTAGGTACTTTAGAGAAACAAATCCACAACAACTCATATATAAGAGAGTTTTATGTAAAGAAAGTGTGCATCACGAAAATATCCCAACCCAATGCTGCCCAAGCCCACAAGTTCAACATTAACCCATTAACCCAACACCAGTCCACAAAGTCCTCCACCTCACAGAACAGAGGCAATGACGCCCACTGCAGGAGGAAAGCTGAGTCAGTGAACGTGTAAGCATCTCAGCGCTGGCAGGGGTCTCCACACGGCTGCTCCAGCACCCAGGGCTGCATCGGGATAGGTCCATATGGCTTCTTGGGAATGTCTTGTAAAAACTCAATCCTGCAAGCTGAAGCAGAGAACTGCTAAGGCAGCTGCACCCTGGTGCGACCATCACAAACAAGAGACCCGAGAACTAGAAAGGCGAGGCTCACCACCCACTTATTCCTCCGCCTTTCAATTAGCCCCACATGTGATTATCGGCCAGGTTGGCACAATTAACTAACTCAGTGCCTATCTCTATGTCTTTTTCACCTGACATATTTAGCTACAGGTAGTAAATATAAGTGAGTAAGAAGAGAGTACTAGATGAAATTCTTTTTAAAAAATAATTTTATTGGGGGCTCATACAACTCTTTATCACAATCCATACATCCATCCATTGTGTCAAGCACATTTGTACATTTGTTGCCATCATCATTTTCAAAACATTTTCTTTCTGCTTGGACCCTTGGCATCAGCTCATTTTTTCCCCCTCCCTCCCATGGACCTTTGATAATTTAGAGATTTTTTTTTCATGTCTTACCACTGACCAGTGTCTCCTTTCACCCACTTTTCTGTTGTCTGTCCTCCTGGGAGTGGATTATATGTTGATCATTGTGATCGGTTCCCTCTTTCTCCCTCCACCTTCCCCTTCCACTCTTGGTATCACTACTCTCAATATTGGTCCTGAGGAGTTTATCTGTCCTGGATTCCCTGTGTTTCCAGCTCTCATCTGTACCCGTGTGCATGCTCTGGTCTAGCCAGATTTGTAAGCCAGAATTGGGGTCATGATAGTGGGTGGCAGGAAGCATTAAAGGACTAGAGGAAAGTTTCATTGGTGCTATCCTGTACCCTGACTGGCTCGTCTCCTCCATGTGACCCTTCTGTAAGGGGATGTCCAAATGTCTACAGATGGGCTTTGAGTCATTAGATGAAATTCTTGCAGATTAACTAATATAATATAATTGACAACATTTTGATTTCCAATGATGAAAGATAGAAGGTTTTTTGTTTTTTACTTTTCTGATTATTGTATTTCTCTCTCTTTAAACAGAACCAACTTTGATTATTTACAAGAGGTACCAATCTTAACACTGGATGTTAATGAAGACTTTAAGGACAAACATGAAAGTGTGGTTGAAAAGGTATAGTTAGGCAAAGACTATATACTAATGTTTGCTTTGTCTTGTCTAAAAATGTGTGCTAACTTGTGACAAAGCTATTTTCTAATGGAAAAGATGACAAAGCCCATGAGAGACAGCATTGTAAGCTAAATTTTGGAGCTGCTCTGCTTGTTTCACTCTCTGTAAATAGGGGTAATCACAATAATAAATATTCTTCATCACACATACCCCCTTTTTTACCTGTTTTATTTCCTTCTCCTTCAAACCTCTAGTCTTTAAGTATTTTAATAATAAACTACTTGTGCAAGTAAATTTCCTTTTCAGTTAGATTCAACATGTATACTAAAGTTTAGGCTATAGATCACATCCATTTCTACATTAGCTGAGGTTTGAGATTAAAGGATTTGTAGTTGTGAATTTCACTTGGCCATTGCCTGCTCATCAGTGATTATTTTAATGAGTATTAGTCTATCTCCCAGATAATTGGGAGTTGATAATATTCTATTAAGTTAATGGTAGCCTTACTGATTATGAATCTGTTGACTAACATTTGAAAAATTGATATAACAGATAACTCTATCCCCATACTTAATAATTTAACAATCTAAGGCCATAAAAAGAAAAAACAAACAATTATTTTGGTTTCGTTTTAAGAGATATTTGATATTTCATATGAACTGTCACAAAATGTGTCTGCTTACTGTAGTACTTAACATTCATAGCATTTTACAGGGCAACAGTTATAGATAATTACTATAGTGTATACAGGGCAGTGCTAGTTCAGTGTTCGAATTCTTGCCTTGTGTGTGAGAATGCTTGCTTTCTGTGGTTCCCAGCAGTGCATCCGCACCTCGTACGTAGCCGTCATTCTTCTCTGCGTGGAGACTTGCATGTTACTGTGATGCTGAGCAGGTTTCAGTGCAGCTTCTGGACTTAGACTAGGAAGATACATCGCGCTGCCTCTGAAATGAGCCAATGAAAACCTTATAGATCACCTGATAGCCCAATCCTGTTGGACACGGGGTCACTTGGGAGCTGACAGCTATAGTCTAGAGTTTTTTTTTTCATAATACAAAATAAAGTATAGCTGACATTTTAATAATGCTAGCAGTTGACTTTTTTGTTTGAAGGTATTTACTTCAAAACAATATTATTGCCTTTTTGAGAAGAATTACTGTCTATTCTAGAATAAGAAAATAGTCCTATTGCATTGTGGTTTGGGTCAGATGACTTAGTTTATTCACTGCTTACGTGTCTTCTCACATGTTAGCCTTGAAGAATATGTGATTCAAATTTTGGTTTCAGAAAAACTACAAGTATGCATGTGTGGATCTTCATAGTTGCTTGAGCTATTACCAGTTATTAAAGTTACTAGTTCTAAATGTGGTCATGGTATTTAAATTTTTACAATTATAAAATTAGCATAACTGGTGTTGTAGAGCTCTTTAATTTTAAGTATAAATTTAATAATCTTATAATTTTAGGTCATTTAATTTTTAGTACCTCAATTAATTACCAATATTTTGAAAGTAAATGTTATGGAATGTGATTGAGTTATCTTGCTATTTATTTTTGTACTTCTAAATCAAGACAATATTGCATATCCTCAATTCGTCAAGGAATCGCACTAACGTTTTTTTCCCCTCCCCTCAGGTCAAAGAATTTTTGAGCACTCTGTGATCGTGCCGAAGACTGTAGGCATCCAGATGTTTCCAGATACTTCGGTCTTGTGTATCGTTGTCGTTTCATATTAATGGACATCTCACTAAAAAACCCAAGACTTTTTTTGGGGGCGATGAATCCTATTTAAGTTATGGCTCGTTACTTAACTGGAAATTTTAATGTTACATAGCAAGAGATAGTATGTCTGTGTAAATTAGTATACTATTATAAGTTTAAAAGTGAAATTTAAGAACACCTTAGAATAAGAATGTTAAAATTTATTATGTTTTTGATCAAGTGCCTCCTTTCCAACTTAAGTTTATCTTGAAGGTAAGCACACAATAGGTTTAACACTCCCTCACTACATTGATATCTCTTGATGTATCTATGACACAAGAGCATTTTGTTCTCAGTTTGGTAGTGATATCTCAGAGATCATTTAATCTTTTTCCTTGCCTTTGTTTTTTCATTTTCAGTATGGAAGAGACTTCTTTCATTCTTTAGCCTGGGGTTTTAGGGGAGATAAATGTAAATTCTTACATGATATAATGGCTAATATGTGTCAATTTGATCAGACCATCATTTTGTGTGTGTGTGTGTGTGTAAGAAAGAGACTTATATACAAGAGCAATTGAATATTGAGAAAACATCCTAGCCCTGTGTGTGTGTGTGTGTGTGTGTGTGTGTTTGTGTGTGTAAGAAAGAGACTTACATACAAGAGCAATTGAATATTGAGAAAACCTCCCAGTCCAGTCTAGATCAACAGACCACCATTCTTATATTGTGTGGTAGTTCTCTATTTTGTAATCATCTTTCATTTTATGTGTTGTAAATCCAAACCTATGTGTCAATAATGTGCAGTATTTCATGAGTCACATTTTACAAGAGGTGTGGTTAGAGTCATGCCCTTTCTCTGATGCCAGGAGAGTTTTATTGTGGTACATATTGGATGCTCTGAAGACTCCCTTATTCTGGATCCTACATCTGATTTGTTATCATCTGATGGCCTTTTCTTGGAACTTGAGCCAGTAGGCAATTGACTTCTCTTCTAGTTTGGGGATTTGAAGTTCTGTGAGCCAGCAGCCTGCCCTCTGACCTACTGATCCTGATTCACCAACCTCTGTTGCAATCACATGAGCCTGAAGACGCTTCCAGCATGATGCCTAACCTATGGATTGGGGACTTGCCAGCTTCTACAACCACCTGAGCCATTATATAGATACATAGATACACACGCTCTTCACTGATTTTGCTTCTCTAAAGGACCAAGCCTAAGACATTTGGTATTGAGTGGTTCTGTAGAAATAAAATTATAAAGATGAGCTTTCTTAATGGTCTGAAAGGACCTGGTTATTCTGCCTCCAGTAGTAAATAGTGACCTTGCCACTATTAAAAGTAGTGGAGTGCATCCTTTGGACCCAGGGTCCTGGCCCCGAGAACCTCTTAGATCTAGGGGAAGATTGCTGCCAAGACATGTGGTATTCTCTAAGGAAGTCTGGGTCCAAAGAAGCTGAAAAGTCAACTCTTTCATAGAGCTAAAAGAGAAAAAAACTCCCTGAGAGCTAGCGCCATGAATTAGGACTCTCCTCCTAAACAGGAATTTAGAACTCTTCCTGAATTATCCTTTAAGGATGGAAAATGACTTCTAATTGAGATTTGTGGATTGGAAGTATAGCTTTCCCTAATTGTCTTTCCATGTTACAGGTGATATTAGTGGAGGGATTAGTGTACTCATTTTATTCTCTCTTGTACTTGCCCTAGGAATGAGTAATCTTTCTTAGACTTGGTGAAGAGTTAAAAGAGAAACTCAAACCAAGGTATATTATTTTAGTAGTTTGTTCTGTTTAGTTCCATTTCATATTTCCCATTTCATCCTGCTAGTCCCTGTTGCCTGGATTAATTAGGCAGTCTGCTATTTTAAGGATTAGATCAAAATTAAACACTTGTACTTTGTGGTCCCTGTGATAAACTCTAGTTGACTTTGCATCTTTTTGGGGGTTTGCCTTTAGTATTTCCTACCAATTTGAGGGAAGTTACTGATAAAAATTATTTTGTTTTATATATTATGTATCATAAAATACTATAATTTTTGTTGAATTACGTATGTTTGCATATATATACAGGAACCTTGCTGGAGTTGGTTAATCAGTGGACTCCTTGGGAGAAAGTTGAAGCTATCTGCTCCCATAAAGATTCACGACCTCGGGAAAACTTTTTAGGGTTACGTTGAGGCAGAGTCGACTCAGTGAGACTAGATTTGGTTTTGAGGATTTACCGATATAAAAATATAAATAAATACACAAAGAAGATGGGGTAGAATATTTCCACTATGAAGTAAACAGGTACAGTTAATTATCTCTAAGGTGCTTACATGAGTAGTTCTAATTTGTAAACTTACATGAATTCATCTGTAGTCTATAATAAAAGGGTTTTAGTTTTTGTTTTCTAGTCTATTAAATTGTAGGTGCCCTGGCATTGGGCTGCAATCTGCAGGGTCCTCAGTTCGGAACCACCAGCAGCTCCTCTGGAGAAAGACTGGGCTTTCTACAGTTACAGTCTTGGAACCCACAGGGGGTCACTATGAGGCAACATTGACTTGATGGGAGTGTTTAAGATAGTGAGTGTTTTTTTCTCTTGTATTTGTAATCTTTCAAAAGGACATTTTAGAAAAATTCTTTTTAAAAATTTGAACACTTGAAGTTATTTTCCTTAAAAATGTCATGTTTTGTATTCAATTTCCTACTCAAAGTTGATAATTTAGTGGGCTACCTCATACAGTACAGCTGCACTGACTTTTGAAGAGTGGACTTAGTTTCAAATTTATAAATGCCATACATTTTAAAACTGATTCATTATATTTCATGGGTTTCTTTGTCTTTTTTTTCCTAAATGAATTTGCCTATTTAGTAAAATATTTGCTTAATAAGTGTAAACATCATGAACTAATAGAAATACATTCATTGAAATCTTTTTAGACTTAAAACTTGCTCTACCTTTGGAAAAATATTGATATAAAATGTCAGTGGTCTATATAAATTACAATGATTCCATTTTAGAGAATTATAATTCAGTGATTTTCACTAGCCCTTTTAAAATAATGTGCAAGGACTCTTAATTTGAAAAATTGAAAAGAAAAGAAGAGTATTTGTCAGGACTCAGAATAGAGCTGAACTGGTAGTGTGGTAGATAATTGAGCCTAGTGGTCTGCATTATGTTTTGAACCTGTATATTTCATCACCTTTCTTTTGAGTATATGCTGTACTACTTAGTTGTTTACTCTTCTAAGAAGGCAATAAAGTACTGTAGACATAATTTCCTTGTCAAGACTTTTCTATCTACTGTGTCTGAAAGTTAGAGTACTGTAGAGTGACACCTGGAAAGTGTTTTTGTTAGTTGTTGTTGAATCAGTTCTGACTCATGGTGACCTGTGTAACGGAACAACAGGAAATTTGCCTAGTCTAGTGCCATCTTCATGATTGTTGGAATGTTTTGAGTACATTGTACCTATTGTGCCAATCAATCCGTCAACTTTAAGGTTGGCCTTCTATCAAACATGTTCATTTCTAGTGATTTGTCTTTCCTGATGTGTAAGCAAGTTGATATTTCTCTAACCTCCGTCTCCCTTCTAAGGACTGTTCCCATTGTATTTCTTTTAAGAACAATTTGTTCTTTTGGCAATCCATTCAATATTCACAGCAAATCTGTTGGTTTACTATTAGATTTGAATTAAAAACCTGGAAGTAGCAAGTGAAGTACTTGTGACTCCTTAGTAACAGCCCCTCCCACTCTATGCATTTATAAATGCGTTTTTATAGACCCAAGAGCACCCTGAACAACATACACTCTTTGAATGTTTTGGCAGCTGCAGAATATAGTGTAAAACCATCCAGAATGTTTTTAGCAATTGCCCTGTTCACAACTTGGGATTCCTTTTGGTTAGTTTTCAAACTCAATTTTTGCAAAAATTCTTGCAATAATAGTGATTGGTTGTTCTGCTACCTGTTTATATAAACTTTTAACAGGTTAATAACTGCAAACACTTCTGGATGGGAGGACTGGCTGTAAGCTTGAAGCCTCTCTGTTGCACACTCCTAGGTTGGCCTGTAGCACCTGGACACCTGCTGTGGGCAGATTTTGGTCCAGAGCATCTGTAGCAAAAGGCCAGGCCAGGGAGGAACTCAAATTTTTGCTGGAAGTCCAAGTCTTAAGGACTCTTGTATACTTGTGGATTGTCAAACTCCTGAGAGCTGCTTCCTGTAATAGATCTTGACCTCTTTTCTCCAAGGTGGTGATTACCACCTGATACTTCCAGCCAATCTCATGAGCTTGGTGGCTCAAGTAGGTAAACTTGTGTGTCGACTTGAGAGGTACAACCTTGAGGGCAGCAGGAAGCTCCATCACTTTTTTCTGCCCATTGTTATAGGTGGACAGAACCCATGGAAAACCCTGACATGCTTAGTCTGGTATACCATGCCCCACAGAGTGTCAAAGATGGACCAGGGCCCCAGAAGTGGTGGTGGGGTCCAGAAATGGTGTGAGCCCTGCAAGGGCTTTCTGAAGAGAAAGGCCATGTACTTGAACGTGTTTCTGTTAGAAGGGGCCGGAAGTACTGATGCTCTTGCTGCACAAGACCATCACCTGCTCCAGAAAACACTTGTTTGACGACAATGGCTGTCAGACAGCCGCAGCCATCGAGCACCAGGATCTGCCCCTCTGCCATCTTTGGCAACTGCCCAGGAAAGCTCTTTACTATCCAACTTTTACAACATGGAACTTAGTCATGTTTAAAAGAATAAGAAGTCCCAGTGTGTTCTTGTATTAGAGCAGTGGTTCTCAACCTTCCTAATGCCACCACCCTTTAATTCAGTTCCTCATGTTGTGGTGACCCCTCAATCATAAAATTCTTTTTTTTTTCTCCATAAAATTATTTTTGTTGCTACTTCATAACTCTAATTTTGCTACTGTTAGGAATTGGGTGACCCCTGTGAAAGAGTCATTTGAGACCCACAGGTTGAGAAACAATATCAGAGTTATATTCGGAGTACCAGGTTTGCAGGGGGCTTTGAGTAATGGAAGCTCAAAGTCCATTTGCGGATTAAGCCTCCATTGAATTCCTTTTGACCATTAGCCAGGAATGGAGAGCTGATGGTGCCCGGCTTTCGGGAGATATAGCGTCTGGGGTCTTAAAAGCTTGAAGGTAAACAAGTGGCCATCTAGCTCAGACGCAAAAAATCCACATGGAACAACATATCAGCCTGGGTGATCACAAGGTGTCGAACGGATCACTGAAGACAAATGGGTGCATAAGCAAATGTGGCGAAGAAAGCTGATGGTGCCCGGCTATCAAAAAGTATAGCGTCTGGGGTCTTAAAGGCTTGAAGGTAATCAAGCGGCCATCAAGCTCAGAAGCAACAAAGCCCACATGGAAGAAGCACACCAGCCTATGCAACCATGAGGTGTCGAAGGGATCAGATATAAGGCGTCATCAGAACAAAAAATCTTACCATAGTGAATGATGGGGGGAGTGCGGAGTGGAGACCCAAAGCCCATCAGTAGGTCACTGGAGACCCCCTTGCAGAGGGGTCTCGGGGAGGAGATGAGCCAGTCAGGATGCAATGGAAAATACAACTTTCCTCTAGTTCTTAAATGTTTCCTC